ATATATATATATATATATATATATATATATGTATATGAATGTGTATATAAATCAACCGTTGTGTGTATATGTATACTTTTTTCCAATAAAATGGTACACATTTTATTTTCGCATCACGTTAAGGGATAGCAGGGGTCAGGGATGAAAATTTGTACGTGTACTTTGCGTCCGATTATGTATATATTTATAATGTAGCACACGCTTATCACGTCGATAAAACAAAAATTCACTTGAAACTCTCACGCGTTTACGCTTTGATTATTTATTCATCATATGATGTATAGCGTTATTATTATTGAAGATTTTCGTATCTACAATCTGTCGCACACACGCGAGCATGTACATACACTCACCAGCGTCGCAATTATTGGTAACGTTGTCGCGTATATTTATATTATTATGATATAACTATTACCGTAGCTATATATTTTTCTATATATATATATATATCTATATCAATATATTCTCTTTCACACATCTGCACGCTCGATCGATGAAAAAGTTGTTTTATTTTTTTTATTTTTATAATCTTCCATTGAAGAAAACGCAGTATATATATATATATGTAGTATATATATATATATGTGTAATGTAACACGTACGTTAACCGAAAGAGAAAAGCTTCGCGCGCCTCTGTTCCTTTCGCCCCGGCTCTCTCATGTTCTTATGATCTATACATGCGTATATGCCTGCGTGAGTGTGCCCGGTCTTTCACATAACATTGTTACACATTATATATTTATTATTATATGCGCGAATATACATGTATGTGAATGAGGTAACTTTCTGCCGCTGCTATATGTCCTTCCTGCGCGCATCTTCATTCTTTCGTTCATCCATTTGTGAATATACATCGTTGTGTTTCTCTTAATTGCTTGATTAAAGATATGGATCGAGACGAGTCGCGTGGTCTCCCTCACCTCGGCGACTCTGAGAACAATACTGCGTTCCCGTTTTCCCTCCCCCACTGTTTTATTTATTTATTTATTTTAAAACGATTTTTCACTATTTGTAAGTGAACCAACAATAAAAAAAAAAAAAAAAAAAAAAAAAAAAAAAAAAAACCTTACGCTACATCAAAACGAATTCAATTCACGTTATACTCTCCTCGGGTCCTGAAAAGCGCGGCGCGCGACAGAAATTTGATTNGCTATATGTCCTTCCTGCGCGCATCTTCATTCTTTCGTTCATCCATTTGTGAATATACATCGTTGTGTTTCTCTTAATTGCTTGATTAAAGATATGGATCGAGACGAGTCGCGTGGTCTCCCTCACCTCGGCGACTCTGAGAACAATACTGCGTTCCCGTTTTCCCTCCCCCACTGTTTTATTTATTTATTTATTATTATTATTATTTTTTTTTTTCATTCTTCTACACATAATTTTATTATTTTCCGGGGCCCAATGAGGGAGGGAGCGACGAGCTTCGATTATTATTTAATATTATTACATTTACGAACGGATATGGCGAACTGTCGGAAGATTCCCCGAGGACCGGTCGGTGGCGTTGCGATGACGTACCTTTGGTATATATTTTTTGCTCCTTTTCCTCTTTTCCTATACCTTTTTTTTTTTTTTTTTAATTTCTCGTTCCAGTCTTCTCTTGTTCACTATGACTTCATCCTCGGGTCTTCCGTAATTTTTTTTCTTTCTTTTTTTTTTTTCGGGTCGTTCCTCGACCGTTTGCTCGTCCCTCGGCGAACGAGCTCTGGAAAAGCGTATCAGCCTTTTGCTCGGATCCAAGCGCTACTGCGAGTAAAAGTACTTTTGAAAAATCAATTGCCAATGGGGGGAAGAAAAAAACAAAAAAAAAAAAGAAGTAAAACGCACCTGTGCGCCAAACAGATCGGCCCCCCTTTGAGGGGCCAACCGAGCTTGTGTAGCATTAGTCAGACCTGCGTGGGGCGAGTCGAGCCCACTACACGTCGCTGTGCTCGTCGGCGGCGGTGAGGATCTCGGGCGCCATGGAGAGGTCCTCGGCCATGTCCTCGTCCGGGCCGGAGTCGGGGCCCGCTTGGCTCTCCGGGTAGTCGCGCTCGTCGTTGCAGGCCTCCTCCTCCCCGTCGTGCTCCGTCGGGGCCTCCAGCAGCTCGCGCTTTATCAGCCTCGACAGCTTGCCACCCTCCGGGCTCTGGCCCTCCTGCTTTATGTGCATGCTCGCCACCGAGTCGTCCAGCGACGACCTACTGGTTTTTCACGCAATTTTCAATAACTTGTGTTTATACCGATTCTCTCTCGAGTTTCGCGGGTCGATACCTACATCAACATGTCGTTGTACGGTGGGATCGGCTGGTGCTCCTTGTCCGGGCTCGTCGCCGTCGACGGGCACATGGAGTTGCTCAAGAAGCCCATGTTCGACTCACCGAGGGCGGCCTGGAAATACTCAAAAGGCACGTAACGATTAGTCGTTTGCGCCGATATTCCCACCTTGGTCAGGCCGCGGGGATTATCCTTTTACTATCGTATATATCCGAGGGGCTGGGCACTCTTCGAGTCATTGAAAAAGATTTTTACAAGTTATTCAAAGTCTTTAAGACTTCAAAAGTGCGCAGCCCCTCGCGTGTATCAAACAAAATGGCAAAGTTTTTTACTTGATTGTAGGATTAATATGACTTTTTTTTTTTTTTTTTCTTTTTTTAAACAATAGTCAAGTGTTTATATGCAATTTTTTGGGGGGGGGGGGGCTGAGTTGAAAAGTGTTGAACTCTACACGACTGATAAAACAGTTACCTGGAGATTCGCAGTGAGAGCGTCACCGTACATGGTCGGACTGTGCGTGAGCGTTGGACTCTTTGACGGCACACCCCTAGACAACGGAAGAAGAAACAGAAAAAAAAAGAAACGCTCGTCAAAATAATTTTTCGGCTCTCGATCGTTGCGATGTCGTATGGTAAAATATAACGAGATAAAAATCCTGCAAAAGAAGTGTTCATGTGTGCACGGTATAATTGTATCGTGTTGTCAAAATTTCGTGATGATTATCAAACATTGGAGAGGTCGATTTTAATACAGTATATTATCATTATGTGATTTATTGTGTCAAGTTTAATAATAATATTAATACATGGAAATTCGGGTGTATAATATTAAAAAAAGTTTGATAAATACGGTTAAAAAAGGGGATAGAAAAAGAGATAATAATATAACGAGTACATAGAATACATGTAAACGTGAAAAAAGCTATGTGTTTGTGCTAATCTACGTTGTATTAAAAATATGAGCATATGAAAGAGATACACATATTATATATAAAATAGAGAGAAGGAGAGATAAATGTTAGATACGTTAAATATATAAAAAGATGGAGAATAAATATGAGGAGAGTACAGATAGAATGTAAAAAAGGAGATAAAACGTAGCAAAGTGAGTGTAAAAAATCAGTAGATGAAAAAGTGAATAATATGTAAAAACACACCAATTGAGATAAAAATGGAAAAAGTCGAATTTAACAACTTTTTTGGTAAAACATTTACCTATTCCACCGTTTGTTTCCCAGCGAAGAGTCAGCAACAGATCGAGAGAAAAAGTTTTCAAAAATTTCTAAATGAAAAATGTAACAACACCGTTGCTTCAAGCTTTTTTTTTTTTCAATGACGTATTTACGTTTTTTAATAGTTAATAATTCACAGAAAAATAATTAATAATGTTACAAACAAACTTGAAGCTAATTTTTGGTTTACAAACGGTCCTGGACTTTACCTTGTATTTTTCATTGGTTGCGGATGAGTCCTACGGATCTTTTTTACGACTGAGCACATTTTCCATACTGTCGTCACAAATAGCGACCAAGTATGCATACGCATGTATTTGCAAACGAATTGTTAGTAAATCGTGTTAATCGGTTAATAGAGTCGTTTGCAAAATACATGCGATAAAAAGTTGCATGCGAGGAATAAAATTGTTTCCAAGGACCGTTCATGATACCAACAATAAATCAGTGTGTGAGTGTTGTAAAAAAATTTTGAGTGAATATAAAAATTTGAGCTTTTGAAAGTTAAAAAATGTAGTCACTCAAAATTTTTTATCCTTGAATAGTTGAGAAAGCAAAGTTTAAAAAGACAGAGTAAAAACGAGGAAGAAGAAAAAAGTTCAAAGACAGATAAGTTTGTAAAAATTGTAAAACTCGAGATAAAAAAGTTGTAAAACTACTCGATAAAAAACACATAGAAAAATGGTATAAAACTACGCTTATATGTATTACGTAATATATGTTAAGAAAGTCAGAAAAATTTAACGCTAGTTTAACATTATACGTATGAAAATTTGACGCATATTAAATATATATACATGTGTCTTATAAATCGTATATCTTAATTCTATGACTTCCTGATGATACCTGAAGAGAAAACGGAGGAGGATTAACTTACGCAAAATTCGAGGCGATGAGGCCCACAGGTCGTACCGCAACTTCAACAAATGTTCAACACAACGAATACACATGTGATCAGCACATAAAGCCCCGACAAGCGAAAATCGTGGAAAACCACGTGTACTACAAAAAAAAAACGTGCATGCCGTCTCACAGTCACTCAAGGGGTAAACTAAATGGTAATAAAAAACATTGTATCTCATGTTTTGAGAAAAAAGTATCGAAAATAATCAACGTCGATTATTAGCATCTCTTAAAATTGTTGTATACGATTGGACTCGAAAGTAGCAAAAATAAAAGACAAAGATTGTCAAATCATTGTTCAGTTAAAATTGAAATTTTTAAAGGAAAATATATACTTAAAAAACCAAAAAGTTTTTCAAGAGTTGCAAAAAACCCGCATTCACACACGCAAAAGCCAGAATTTGAAACACATGCGTAAAAAAAGCGCTTGGGCTTGCGCTAACAACGAACGCGATCAACCGAAAAGAGGAAAAAAGGTACGTGCAACACACGCGTTTGTAATGCCTGTGAAACATTTTTTCCCCTTTTGCAAAAGGTATCGTGCAAGCGACTAACAGAGGTTCGAAAAATAAAAAGGAATAATAATGAAAAATAAAAGAGCGCCATCAAGTTATACATCGACGCAAAGCTCTAAGCGACTTTCGATGTTTCAACAGATGTATGAAATCAATAATCTCTAGACGAATAGTCACGTTTTTCAATCAATCTTTCGACAAATCAATTTTCTCGTTATTTGAGTTTGAAATTTTCGGTCGAGCAGCCACGTACACAGAGCTTTACTTGTACACGCAACAGTATAAAAGAAAAATAAAAATTAGGAGACTGGGCGGATGACACTACGAAGCGGTTGGCAAGCAGTTGTCTACATGTATGGGGGGATTGCAGATTTGCTGATTTATATATACAGTAAGTATATTAGGTATTATGCAATTTTTTTCAGCTTGAACTTGTGAGAGCGGGATCACATGAAACACAGTATATTATGTTTATCTATGTATGATGTATATATGTACACGTATTTCTAAGAGACGTTCGGGTCAAGCATTTTAAGGTACGACATCGATATAGTTAGCTTAGCGTTGTCGGAGAGGTATTGAGAGCTTCATTTACTTGACGTTATTTGTAGACTACTCGCGTACAATTCCATGGACATTTTTGTGTAAATGATAGAAAGAAAGAAAAAAAAAAAAAAAAAAAAATTAAAAGCTTACTGGAAAAATTCACTCGTTTACCGATAAATGTAACGTTAAGTGTTCCGTATACTCGAATGGAAGGTGTCCGAATGAGTCGTCTCAAGCCTCTCCGAGAAAAACATAAAGTAAGCAAAAACATAAGAGGACAACGGAGCAGGTGGAGGAGATTCGGCGGGGACCAAGGGGATGGGAGGTAGGTAAGGTTGCACAGTGAAATGAAAGAAAACAGAGTGACAGCGAGAGAGAGAGAGAGAGAAAGGTTGAAAACGCGAGGAGAAGAGACGAAAAAAACAAAAAAAACGAAAAAAAAACGGAAACGCGAGAGGTGAAGAAAAACTTTGGAAGTCAGAAACGGAATTTTACATGGAGCGTGTATACGGAGATAAAAATATAAGGGAAAATAAATAAAAGACGAGAGTGCACTTGGGAGGAGACGTACTGACACGGTTTTTATGGAAACAATCATTCCTCTGGATTCTTTTGTCTTGGAAAAAAGTAAATTGTTACGACAAAAAAAAGGTGCCATTTTTTACGGACCAATAAATCACTAATGATGCATAAATAAAAAAAAAAAAAATAGCCCCGAGAATGGCTGCAGGGATACAGTTAGTAGGGATAAAATGAAACGTTGTAATACACGAGGGGGTGGAAGGAGAAAAAAAAAAAAAAAAAAGTAGATAAACAGAGAGACAGATGTTAGTTGGGCGAGAGAGGAGTTAAGAAGGGACAGACACATAGACAGCAAAAGAAGGAGTACGTATATAGGGATTGAACAAACGTCTCGTTATTGTTATGATTATTATTTTTTGTTCTCTGAAACTCAACCGAGACGTTTATCCTGTCGCGGGTGTTGTTGTTTTTGCAGACGTTTTCTCGTATAGGTCTACGTATATATATATATGTATACATAACGTGGTACATATTATATTATAGTCAGCCAGCAGAGCACATATAAAGACAGAGAGAGAGAGAGAGAGAGAGAGATAGAGTACAGAAGTTGTGTTTGGTTGTTGTTTGTTGTTCTATTATAGTGGTATAGTGCTTACTGTGCGGAGAGGTGGGGTGGAGTGGGTGATGGGGTTGGGTCATATTTCCTGGGACGGCCGCGCGACAGATGCCGCCGCTTTACGAACTCGGCGTCGTCCACCATCCAGAATGACCCGAAGTCGTCCTCATAGCGCACAAAACACTTGTGCAACGATAGATTGGTGCGGATCGCGTTCTGTATACACAGATAAACACCACCAAGAAATAGAGAAAAGATAGTACAAAACAAGGTTCAAAAAGGCATTTTTCTTGTTTTTCGCAGTAGTCGTATGGCTGTATTTTATTGCTCGCTCGCCGCTCTGGAAAGAAAGATATAAAAAAAAAAAAAAAAATGGTCCGTTGGGCCACTGCAGCCGGGCTTTGGCTCCTTACTGGTGCTGTCTATTTTTTTTTTCTTTTTTTTCCTCCCTAAACTCCTTGCCTCTGCGTTTTTAGGTAAGAAAGTAATTCCCAAGACGCGTTTATCGCAATGGGCAAGGATGTTCGTTCTGGTGCTTACCACTTAATAATCTGATAGTAAAGCGACGCGCTTGGAATTTACCTTCTTATCCATTTTGCAATTCTTTTTTTCACGTGCGCAAACGTGCGCCACTTGATTATGATAATCTCAATTGTTCTGCCTTGCCACCATAACTCATTTCTGATTGCACTGAGCCCGGCGCATATCCCGGATTTCCATCGTCAAAATGCTCTACATAAAAGTTCAAAAAAAAAGAAAGAAGCAGATGGAAAAATGGGATACGCGAGAGCTCAAGTCGCTTCGTTCTCGTGACCCGAGGGATTCTCCCTTTGATTCTTCTAAATTAAAAATGACTACGAAATGCACAATATACTCAAAGGAAAAACTGATAGGAGAAGACATAATCCACAATAAAGAGAGATGAAACAGGTAAACAGACAAATTTCGGTATATAACTGTTAGTCGCTGCAAAGCCCGCATGCTTGTTAGGTAAAACTCTCGCTCTCTTTTGGTCCTCCTATATATATATACACCATTATCCTTCGCAATTCGTACGTCGAGGTGATTTTCATATGGCGTCCCGCAAGCATACAAACACACAGACTACAAGACTTTTGAGTAACCTGAAAATTCTCTTTTGCCTGCATTTTTTTTTTTTTTTTTTT